ATCCAAGACATCCACAAGCTTAAGAAAAAGAATGAGCACATAATGATTTAATTGGCTTTCTCTTTTAATCAAAAACATACTTTGTTACAGAGTTCTCAGGAAAGGTTCAACTATTTGTTAGCCACAGACTTCGCCCAGGGAAAAAGAATACAGAAAGCCACAGAGAACGCCTGGCACTTTAGCTGGCCGGTTTCCTCAAAGCAGAAGCTCAGCGTGGCTCCTCTTTGAGCTTTAGCGTAGCTGCTCTCCTCTGAGTTCAGGGGAGGAGGCAGAGCTGGGAAAGCCACGACCAAATCTCTTCCAACCCCCAGCTGCTTCCTCCAAATGGTTCTGCAGCCCACCAAGTTTTCATCAACAAGCATTCACACTTTTCCCTTAAATCACATGTCTGAGGCATTGGCCAGAACCCAACACCTGGAGGAAGTCTGCCGACTCCATGTTTAGCCTTTTAACCAATTCAAACCCATGAGTCCTTCTATCAGTGACTAGCAGCCATAGCAACAGCAGCTGGTTCCATCCCTTCCTGCCCAGCTACCACAGAGCTGGCCTCTACCAGGACTCCCCAACCCCCACCCTTGACCCAGCCCTAATGAAGGCTCTCAGGTCCTTGTAAAAGCCCAGTTCATTAGTTAACACTCATCCACGATGGGCTGGAAGAGAACTCTAAAAGAAATGCTCCAGCCAAAAGTCTTCTAATCAAAATGGACTAAAAAGAGCCAAGAATAAAGTGAATAATCATCCACTATGTTTCATTGAGTTGTACAAACCATTTTTAATTGATGCAGTTCAAAGGTATGTCCCTGTTCTAAGCATAGAAGAGTTAAAAAAACCAAAGACCCAAAGTAATGACCTCTACTATCATTAGGCATTTACAGTAAGTTTTCAATCCATTTCAGTTAAACAAAAAAATTACCAGCACAGCCCTTAAGGGGATGCTGTCACACACATACCAACCCAAAAGTTAGAATGTCATGACTTAAAAAAAGCCTTACTAAGCCTTCAACAGAGATGATGGGAAAATAAAATGAAGGCTTTCCCCCCCCTCTTTTTTTTTAAGTATTTATGGCAGCCCCAAGGTAGTGCTAAGCCTTTGGTTGAATTTAAGTCTTAGGGACGTATTATGTAACTTTTTGTCCATAGGAGAATAGTAATAAAATCTCAAGCCTAGTCTCATTCAAATAATGTAGAAACAAGTAAAAAAGCCCTCTCAAACAGCAGAGCAAAGGGGAGGAAGAAATCGAACACTGCTGCAAGGTAGGCAAGGCCACTGACACTTCAGAGCTGGAAGAAAGCATCTAGTCCAACTCCCTCATTTTACAGATGAGGCAACTGAGGCCCAAAGAAGGTAAATGACTTGCCCAAGGTCATACATCAAATTGGTGGCAGAGCACAACTGGAGAGACAGGAGTCATTCGTCTCAGGCTGAACAAGAGCACTGGCTCAGAGACCTACCGAGGAAGCATCTTAAACTGAAAACTATCCACATCCGTAAGAGAAATGATTGTCTTCACTAGACTTATCTCCTCAGTCCTTCCTAGTTAAAAAAAAAAAAAAAAGAGGTTCATTCATTCACTCAAGTCTGATGGTAAAATCCCTGAAAACATCAGCAATTACTTTAGCTACTCCTTGGGGCTGGATATCAAACCCTCAAATCTCATAAAGGCACCTATAGGTCAAAAATATCTGTGGAGGAGGAAGGCCAGAGCATAGGGCTCAAAAGGAGACACCAAAACAAAACAAAAATGATCCTCTCATTTTCCAAGCTTTGTTTTTGTTGTGTTTTGTTTTGTTTTGTTGGTGTCCTCTAGGCAAGGGTATTGCCTCTGGCTATTGATACCTAATTTCATAACCCTGTAACCCCAATTTTTATGTGAGCAGCATTCAAGTGGAAGCAATGAAACCTTTTAAAAATCTTGCAAAGAGGGAAAATAGGAATATGACTCACTTCCCTCTGCCTCAACAACCTGAAACTGAGCAAGAATCAAGAAGCACTTGAAGCAGTCAAACGCCAAAGCACTGAAGGCCTTTCAATCGTGTACAGGAAGTTTCTCGGGTCCTGTCCCAGTTTGCCCTTGTAGTCAAAGAAAGTGTTAATAAGCGTGGTTATCTGGCTTCCTTGCCCAAGCAGCTGGGGAAAAAAAAAAAATGAATCAGAAAGGGAAGAAGAGGTACTAAGGGGAGGTACACTAACAACGCACAGCAAGTGTCACTGTCAGAGAGGGAGAAGATGGGGGAGAGCGGGAAGGGTAAAAACGAAACATTCAAAACCACAGCAACTCTGCAACCACTTAGTAAAGGCAAAGAGCCCTGTCTATGCCCCCGAGAAGTTGAGGAAGAGAGCTAGGCACAAAAAGAAACATATCCAGTATGTTCTCTGACCATATTAAATAACTCCATCAAAGAAATGGCTGAAATAAAAACGTTTTACTGCTTAAATAAGGCAAGTCTGGATTATGCAAAAAATTCCATTTCACAACCATACAAGATAAACCACCTAGTAACACTGGGACCAGTGCTGGGGACAAGGCTGGGCTCGAGGATGCTGCTCTGAATAAGGCCACTAACTTTTTATATCCTTCCTAACATAGCTGAAGAGAAATTACCTAGTTGTCAGAAGGAAAAAAAAAGGGGGGAAAGGCTTGCACAAAAGATACTCCTAGCCTATTTCTATAATCTTGCAAAGGAGGATTTGGGTGATTATTTACAGTGAGCCACCTGCAAGATGATGCGTTCTGCCTCTAGAAGGAAAAAGAATGCATTTCTTCATTCTATTATCTGCTAGTCTTTGTCAAGCCCCATCTACAAAAGAGTTGTTAACTGACTTTACAGGCAATTGCTTTCAGATGCTCATTCACCTCCGTGACCTAAATTTACCCTTTTCCCAACTTGCTGTCCTTAAATAAAATGCCACTAAGTGACTCAATGATAAAGGGAGCAAACTATAAAAACTATGAACAAAAAGGATTCTGCCCTACTCAGAATAAAATTGCTTCTTCCAAAAGACTCTCAAAACAGATGTAAACTAACCTGATTTTGCATAATAGCTAATGAGTAACAACTATCCACCAGTCACCACCAAACCAGGAACAGAAATATTTCACCTTCTATTCTTTAACCTCCACAGATAGCGAAGGAGCAGCTTGGGAAAATGTACAACTTCCCGTCTCCAGATGGGCACAATAAAGAAGATAACTGCAATACACTTTTAAAATAAGACATTTATCATCTGCAAGACAGGACATTATATTTTGCCTTCAAAATTACTATTACAAATACCTCCCTTTACGCCACACCCTTCCCCACAAAAAATGGATTTTAAAAGCTACTAGGTATTCAGTTTACTCTGATGTTTCAAGTATGGTTGTCCGTAAGCCAGACCACCCAACCTGTAAACCTACAATGTTTCCAGGAGAAATGGAACAGGCGACCTATTTAGTCGGTCAATAAAAAGGAGCCATGCTTCTGGAAAAACAAGGTTATATGGCAGTGATTTCTTGTCATTGTCTTTGTATACCAGGCGTAGCATACTTTTACAAAGGAGACAGACTATATCTCACAAAAGAATCTACTCCCTGGAAAATAAAGGCAACACCATAAAGGATTTCCTTTGAGTATGAAAGGCACTGGACCAATGTGTAACGGGCCTCACACTGGATGAAAAAGTACATACTTGGTTCACCTCTCAGCCTTCACTGAAATTCAACATTTTGAAAGTCTTTGACATATGAAATAGCTGAGAACACTCATTCAGAACCATATCCTTATAATAATCAGATTCTTAGAACTGCAGAAACTATTGTACCCCTAAATTGTAAACCTAGTGATTCCTTTATCTTACTCATTAAAGATGACTACATTTAAGAAATGGAAATACCAATTTAACAACTAAGCTCTCAGGAATAACTGATCATAACATACTAGATGTTTTCTCAAAAGCATGTGATTGCATCTGGGTACAAATATAAAGCAATTAATAACTGCAAATACTTTTATGTACTTGTATGGCTCTTAGCAGAAAGCAACCAAGACAGGTGGCTAGGCCTGAAGACAAACTTCCTTGCAAATATTTTCCACAAATGATTACCAAGATTTCATGTTTCATTAAACATGAAAACCTTCCTTAAAATAGAAAAGGAGGCAATAGATTTTATCATAGCATGCTTACGGCTCTAGTCAAATAGTCTGGATTTTCTTAAATATGCCATTCTAAAACTCTTCTCACTACTCCTACTCCTCATTCACAGTAAAATGGGGTAAATAATTTCTATGAAACAATGATACCTTTTTAAAAATCTGGCACTACTACTTAAATCATCAAACTTTCACAGGTTGTAATGGGGTCTTTAACAAAAGGAGTTGTTAGTACTCAAGAGTACAAGTATGTTGGTAGAGAAATACTTTGAAAAAAAAAGCCATGTAGCTTGGATCAAAATCTATATTTGAATCACAGCAATAAGCTAACCTATTGGTTTCTAGGGTGGTCTTAAGAACACCTTCTGAGCAAGGAAGCTGAAGACTTGTTCATCTAAGCTGATATAAGGATAACAGCATGCATAGTAAGTGTTTCTCAAGCTTGGAACACACCTTAGAATCTTATTATGCTTAGAAAGGCCCTCCAAGCAGACAGTAAAAGCATCTGAAAGACAATCCTTGATTTTATGCCACACTATGTATTCTGTAGACAACCTACTTATCTTGGAGACAACCAGGCCTACTTTTGCTACAGTAAAATAAAACTTCAAAATACCAACTCTACACTTGCTACCTCATGTCCCCGGGGAAGTCCCGGTAGAGCAAGGGGAAACCAAAGCTGCAGTACTGGCTGCTGCCTGCCATTTCCTAGAAGGTGTCTCGCCACTGAGGTTGGACTCAAAAGTGCAAAAGGGAAAACTTAAAAATCAAACCTAGAATTCAACTTTGTATGTTGAGATTCGGTTTTATTTATGCTACTAGCTAAGTAAAAAGCATACATGTTGTGTCTGTGGTACAGTCAATACATTTGCAACTTTTCTACTTAAAATCTCTATACAAAGTCACCGCCAATTGATATGATCATTGATGGCAAAGGGCTTAGAAAAACCAAAAGGTATAAAAAGTCTGCAGTCTTGCCCCAAGATACAAAAACTGAATTTTAAACAATGTCATAGCATACATGATTTAAAGAGTATATGAAAAAGAAGTCACATCAAATCAAGTACAAAAATATCCAAACTGCCTATTATAAGCTGTAATGTTTCCATTAGTCCGCACAGGATCTGACATAGAACTTAGCAGTTTCCAAAATGCGCATCATTTACTCTTAAGCACTGCCACCTTTGCAGAATGGAGAACTGGAGGAGTGACACTGCTTTTAGTGTTTTTAAAAATACAAAACCTTTCCCCATGAATTAATGAAGGAAAGAAATGGCTCTTCTAGGCTTCTTGGTAACCAACCCTGTGCCTGGAAATATAGACTACATCTACTGCTTACCAGGGAAAAGTGATACTACTCAAGAAATCGTTATCCAACTGGGATAACTACTGAACTTGTAAATGGTATTTCTTTGTCTGATAATTTTAAGGAATTCTCAGTATTCACAGAGATTAGTGTTTTGCCTTGGTGAAAAGAAAAGGAAGTCGCAAGACAATCTGAATTGAAATCATCTTCACTAGTTTAACTTGCAGAAAATATATTTTGGATAAAAGATTAGAATACATCACTGTCTTATTTTTTAAACACAGAGTAAAGTTGCTCTTGGTAACATTAACTCACCCACATGGCACAATATTTTGGAGTAGAGTCTGCTCAACAATAACAACGTGCACACAAAACAACAGGTGAATTAACTTTGAGAACATCTCTGCCTTTAAAATCAGCAATATTGAGTTTACTCTTTAGAATAGCACATATACCAATGTTCTGCATAGAAAAATGTCTACGCCATTTTAAAGGGCTAAATTTTCCAGGATTGGAATGATTCCTTCATACATAACTGGTGCAGTAAATTTAATAAGAATGTGTTTTTCCTGACCTTCAAGTTCTGAGCCATGCCTGAAAAGTTCTAAATGGGGGCGGGGGGGAGGGGGGGTTAATCCAGTTTCTGTCTGCTAGGAGCAAGGCAGCAAAACATGTGTTCAACCCTTTATGAAAAGATAAAGCAGAACGAAAGTGATATATATCTTCAGATTATAAACAGGATTGTATGTTACAGTCCACCATCCTGACAATGAATGTTAAGGGCTCCAACAGTGAAGGTTTCAGTCTAAAGGTTGTGGGTCGGCAATAGGCATGGTGTGAAGTACTTCATCTAGGAGCTGAAGGGCCCGGTGTAAGTGAATCTCAATCCAGCAAGGCGTCTCCTTGATGCTCTGTCTTGGGTAATCCGGTCCCCAGCCTTTCACAAAGCTCATCCTGAGGATGCATAAGCGACGAAGGTCATCCACCCCGATCCCAGCAGCAGCTGACAAACCTAACAGAAGAGATTGGAAAGACATCAGGGGGACAGGCTGATCTCTTCCATTCTCCCTACACCTGACATTAATGACGTGACAGCTCTCTTTAATTCACTCTCCCCAGCATATAATTCTCTGTCCAAGTGCCAAGAAGTACAAATCTAAACTTTATCAACAGGGGCCGAAAACTTTTGGTTAAGACAATTTGCATTCCACCTGGGTCATCTGCCTACACCAATTATAAAGTAAATTACTGCAATCTACCCTCACCCCACCAATTTTTCTCTTTAGGAATGGAGGTGAAGGGATAAGAAGCAACTTGACTTTGAGGGGTAGTGCCCTGTCCACAGGATGGGTCATGCAAACTTCCTGTCTATCTAACAGCCTGGTTCAGAGGAAGACATGACTAATAATGAAACAGTTCAGAGTCTTGGTTCCATTAAAGCTTCTTGGAAGCCCCCGACGATGTCTCTCCATTGCACAATGTATCAGAGAATATGCAGCCACTCTGTTAGGGCAGCAGATGAGAATGAGAACTTTACTATCTCTGGATTCTTCAGTAAAAGCATGTTTATAACATCAAAACTGGCAAATAAATGGCTTAGGTGCCCGAATTTTTAAAAAAATCAAATTCAGTAAATGAATATGCCTTATCTATCTCTAAATTGTAAACTCCTGAACATCAGTCATAATAGAGACTCTGCAGCTAATTTTCCAGTCAGAACATACAGGTCATATAGTCAATCTGCATTCATCAATATTACATGAACCTAGTGGGAGGAATCTGCATGTACTGTAGAGAAACCTGCAGGGACACTGCAGTTTTCTTCGCCAGTGTGATTTGCTTACCACACTGAAGAGGTTAAGAACAGGGGTTGAATGAATCACTAGTTATGCCTTCAGACGTGGAAGATGGGTGCCACGTGTTTCCATCATAAAAGTCTATAGTCAGGAGTTTAACTCTGCAGTAAAAAATTCCCCATCAGTGTGAAACCTGGCACACAGTTCAATTTTACCCTAAAATTAAAAAAAAGTCTACAAGTTATCAAAACACCACCCTCACTTAGTTTTCTCTCCATGCTTAGCATTGTTAAAAACACACACACACACACACAAAAAACAGGAGGTGCCTAATTCTGAAATTGAAAATGCTTTCCTTCTACAATGAAGCCAAGCATGTCAGTGGTAACAACCCACCCTGGTTGGTGAGACAGGAATTAAAGGCATCAACAGAAAAGGGGGAGGTGACCAGTAATATAATAAAAAACCCTTTTCTTCCTTATCCCATATTCCCTTTTGACACAAAAGGAATAAAAATAGGTTCCTAGACAAAGGACAAATATTAAAAGAACAGTTTTCTGTAAATTCAAAAACATTATCCCAGTAATGAAAACTTTAATTTCTATTACTGTTTAAAGGAACTAATCAAATAAGTGAATCAATATAAAATGCCAGCTATTACACTTAAAAAACCACACAAACCAAAAGCATACGTACTGATAGCTGGAGCTATGCCACCTACTGATCCCGGGCCAGGGATGTTTCCGGCCACGGCTGCTGCCTGGGCAGCTGCTGCAGCTTGTGCTGTGGCCGCCTGCTGCTGCATCTGACGATGACACTGCCGTAAATCAAAGACCTTTAAAAAAAAGTGTAGGTTTAATGTTATGAGTCCACCAGAAAAGATTCCATACATCAAAAATCACTGCACAACTAATTGAAAACTTATAGCTTCATTTACCTCTCTTAAACTTAAAAATGTAAGTTTTTATGTACATTGTAATATAGGAAAGCTGGCCAAGTGACACACTTCACCATCAGGACAGCGGTGGTTGCTACATGCCTCTGAATCTTTGATCTAATTCAGCGTTGATCAGCATTATTGTCCCTGTGAAAAACAACTACTTTGTGTAAAATAAAGTTAAGAAATCACCCCCACCCTTTCAAAACAAATTGCTATGAGTTTTCTTTAGGCTGAATTGATGATCGTGGTCAGTTATACCGCCAACTTCTTTTCTTTATCATTCTAGTTATTTGGAGGAGTGTGATAGACAGCATGGTCACCATATTTTGTAAAATCTGCATTTTTTAAAAATGCATACTTTACTACATAAGAGCTAAATAACTTCTGTCTGGTAGACAGTATATATTCAACACTGTCATGTTCTGTTCATTCATGTCAAATGACAAATAATCCAAAGACTTCCAGTCAGGATGGAGGAGTAAGGTATGCATGACCACCTTCTCTCTCTGCTCCATTTACATGAAAAGACAGAAAAACTATTAAAAGCTGATAACCTCGCCTGGCTGGTGTGGCCCAGTGGTTGTCAACTATGAACCTGGAGGTCACAGTTTCACAGGGCACATGTCCAGGTTCCGCACTCAATCCCCAGTGTAGGGCAGGGGAGTGAAGGAGGCAGCTGATCAATGACTCTCTCATCATGGATGTTTCTATCTCTCCCTCTCCCTTCCTCTCTGAAGTAAATAAAAATATATTTATAAAAATTGATATCCTCCAAGCCAGTTATATAATTCCTGTGGATATACCAGCAGGTGGCAATAGCCAAAACAATCCTGAAAAAGAACAAAGCTAGAGAATTCACACTTCCCAATTTCAAACCTTGCTGCAAAGCTACAGTCATCAAGGCAGAATAGTACTGTGATAAGGATACATACACAGA